TTCCAACGAGTCGTGTGTTTGTCTCACTCTGCTCTATTCTCTCTGTCGTCGCTTTGACCCGCTTCTCAGTTTCTGCAGACTTTGTAGTAACTTTTTCTGCTTTTACATCCCCGCTCGCTGCATAAATTCCTAATAAAAAAGAGATTTCTTTCAGGTGTTTACATTTGGAGTTATGTGTTTGGATGATAAAGTTTTCCTCTGTAACTTCATCTAAGGGTGGGGTCGTCCGGCTCTTTTATGGTATATTTACTGTTTTCCATTTAATGTCTGCATCTAGAATAACTTTTCCTTCCGTTTGCTCCTCCCTCTCTGCATCTGCGAGGAAAAACATGATTAAAATATCATCTCCCACCTCGCTAAGCATTTGTTTGTCATCATTATTATCAGTTTTATCTGTAAATCCTACTTGTAGCGTGCATGCTAATCTTTCCCGCTTTGCTTTTTCAATATGTGTGTGTGATCGCTCTGTTGCACTCTCTCCCTCCGGGCGCCGCGGCTCGGCTTGTTTTGTGTTTATCCTCCCACTGAAATCCTCTTTATTATCATCAAGAGTGGCCCTTTTTTATACCGCAGTTTATTTATGGATTCTGGCTCCTCTCTGGGAACCAACAAGACTTTTCTCTTAACATAAAATCCATCATCATCATCATCATCATCATACACACCCGATGCTTTTAAAGATTGCTCCCTCTGAACAGTGTTTTGAAACAAGAAGTTCAAATAGTCATTTTTCTTTATAACTCTCGCTGCTTTTCTCTGCCTCTGTAACTGAGATTTATCTGAAGGGTGCAGAGAAGCCGCTTTGAAAGCCTCGTATTGATTGACAAAAGCTTTTGAAGGCGGCGCTGAATCACGCTCCATGAGTACTTTTGAGCCCATCACGCTCTCTTTTTGTCTTATTTGTCCTTTCAGTTTATGTTTTTTCTTGGACGTTTCTCTGATGGACGGCGCTTGTTTTACTTCACTCTCTTTAAAACAGCAGGAAATTAGCTCTGTTTCAGCAGCGCCGTATCTCTCTGTCAGCACTTTCTTCAGCCAAACAACAATGGCGGGGCTCCAGTTCTTGGATTTCTGTAATAAGGAAGCCTGGAAATTGCAGCCTGAGGCGGCGGCGAGATGATGCAGAAACCATGCGGACCCTGAAAACGGGAGATCTTTTATCGTCCTCATCAGAATACGACCCGCTTCCTCACCAGAGATTACACGCAGCTTGTGCAAAGTAGGGACACTCTTCCTCCTTCCACACAGAAGAGAAACAACCTGGAGAGACAGGAGAGGAAGATGCAATTAGTTGCATTCTGCCACAGGGAAAAAATGCACGAGTCATTACTTAAAAAAACAAACTATTTAAAGCACACAACTCCAGTCATGTGAAACGTTTTTGGCCACGCTTGAAGCATCGCTCCAGGAATGGAGGAGTCATTTGTTTGTCACCCGTTTAATTTGGTCCCAAATATCTTAATAATGTTTGAATGATTTGCAGAGAGAAAAGAAAAAGTACTCTACATTTTAAAGGAGCAGTATGTAACTCTGACCCCTAGTGTTTAAAATGGGTACTGCAGTCTAAATTCTAAACATAGAGAGCTGTCTCCCCCCCACCTCCTCTCTAGAGTTGATGCTCACTCAGGTCACCATGTGGTGGACTCTGAAGCTTCAGTGTTTATCCAGCTCTGCATGGGTCTGTAAACCTTTCTGTGTTCTAACCTCTCTCCATTTTTCAAAAGCATCTCCAATATTGATCCTAGTTTGAGCACGTTTCTGCTCGTGGAGCTTATTAGAAACATGCAGAGGCTTTTTAGGTCGGGTACAATCACTTCTATCTGAACCACTTCTCTTGACCGCTTCCATCGCTGCAACACCTGTTGACCTGATAACTGCTCTCATATCTGGCAAACCGAGGGGTGTCCAAAACAGGGTGTCTTAAAACGTTCTCTGGTCTAAACAAATCCAGAGCATTCAGGAGCAGAATCTAAAGTTAGAAGGAGGACATACTGGCTGCTGGGGCTCCATATCCCCCTCCCCCCACATGATCCCCCGAGGGACACGGTCATAAGCCGGTCAAATGTAAGAATCTGTTTCCTGTCATCCGTCTCGTTAAACCCTGATTTTAAATGTTTCATATGTTCTCTGGAGGTTTTCATCTCTGCCTCAAGAAAAAAGTAAAAACCTGTCGTTGGAGTTTCACAGTAAAGTGACAGGTGCGAACACATGCTGCATGTCAGATATCTTCATAATCAGCAGCATGAAATTAAAACCAAAATAAACCTGGCTGTTTCTGCTTGTGTAATGATGAGCTTCATGCTTTTTAGGAGGTGTGTGTGTGTGTGTGTGTGTGTGTGTGTGTGTGTGTGTGTGTGTGTGTGTGTGTGTGTGGTGTGTGTGTGTGTGTGTGTGTGAACTGTGAAATTCCCACCTGCTATGCAAATAAGTCTTTTACACACCGGGGAGCAGAAAGACAGAAATGCCATAAAAAAAAAATAGAGATGCGATTGAAATCAGCTCACAGAATATATGGAACATCGTTGGATACATTATTCATATCATGAATTATATTCATGATTTCAATGTTATCTTTTAATGACACGTCTACAGTTTTTAAATGTCAAACGAGAGTCTTCAGAAATGTGATTTCCTGAGGATTGTTTCCATAAATTCTTGCTTTGACAAACTGCACATCAGGGTAGTTTTATCACATGAATGTAAAGGGTTAAAAGATTAAAGGTTAAAGGAAGAATGTGTAACTTTTTGATCCAGTAGATGTCCCCTTGAGCACCAGCATGACCCAAAACAAACTTCTGTTAGGCCACACCTCCTCCAACCCCCCCTCCACTCGGGTTCAGAGAGTTATGAGCATAGATAAGATAAGAAGCTGTATTTGTGAGGTTCATGTTTATAAAGTTTGAAATAAGCATACCGGTGCTGGAATGTGACTCCTGTCGATTCCCGTTAGTTCCTGAAGAGACCGACTGCGTCCATCGTCCTCTGAGGGAACAGGGTGAAGGGGGGACGTCCTCTGTTTGTGCTGCACAGAGACAAACACACACTTCCTCTGAATACACACCGAGCAGTTTTCAGTTTGAAGTATCCTTGCTCCTGTGGGAGTCACCCGTCCACAGAGGAGCAGATTTCCGCATAAACTCCAGTTTTCCATGACCCCGTCCCCGTCTCTGAGGGGGCTCGGGTTAGAGACGAGCAGGGACAGCAGCAGCAGCAGCCACGACCTCATAGTGCTGAGAGAGAGAGTGTGTGTCTCTTATCTTTACTGCATTTCTTCTCATGTCGCTTTGAATATTCAAACCACGGAGCAGAAAGGCTTCAGCTCTATCTGACAGGGTTCTGTAATAACAGAGAGGGGACTGACACTAAGTGGTAAAGTCTAAAAGGAGAAAGTGTAATCTTGTTTCTGAGTTCTAATTCAAATGGTTGCTTTTGTGAAGCAGTTTTCACATAATGCATCCTAAAGTCCTCCTGATCTGGTCGTTCACACCTGCACCTCACAGCGAGAGATTTTCCCCAGGTAGGAGGGGGCGCAGGTGGGTCTCCTGAGGCAAAATATGAATAGAATAGAATAGAATAGAATTACTTTATTGATCCCAAACTGGAAAATTGTGGCGTTACAGCAGCAGGTTATCCAAACACACAATATGAGCAAAAAACACAATGTTAGCAAATTTAAACACAATATAATATTAAATACAAAGTAAATAAGCACTAAAAATATAAAAACTAAGAATGTGAATATATACAACCAGGATTTAACTAAACATTACTAAGTCTTAAATATGAAAGATTAAATGACAGGGACAGTCTCCCGCTGTGAGGGACATATGTCAACATGCATGTCGGGGAAGCTAGTCCTGAAAAGTTCTAGAGAAATTTTGAGGAGTTCATGTGTGAAAGAAATGCTCATGATGATTTAAAAGTCTTCATCCATGATTTCAATTTTTCTTGCAGTGAAGATTTCAGATAGGTAGCTGAACTGAAACACCTGCCGTCCGACAAAACTTTATGCAACAACTGAGAATTGGAAAATTGAATTACCAATTGCTGTTTTTCTCTTTATGACGATATTTAATTCTCAAGGCAGTTGTTGATTTTGTGCAGTAGAAGTGTCTTCACTGCTCAAACAGTTGAGTTTGAAGATTTGTGGTGCAAACAAAAGAAGTTGCTCACACTGATATCATCACATTGTCGTTGTTCATTTAAAGCCGGCCTGACTTTATATTACTCTGTGTTAACCGTGCTAACGTTCTTTTGCATATAATCAGACGTTATCCAGAACACACACACACACACACACACGCTCACACTGCCGAGGTCAGAACAGGATAGTCATCATTTTCCTCTCGGCTACACTGAAGCAGCAGGTAAGAATTCCTTCTGTCTTTGTTCCATCTTTCAGACGAAGTTTAGAAAAGACTCAAATGATAACACGGCATGTTAAGTTGTTTTTAATAATCTTCAGGGCCAAAAACATCAACTGCATGTGTTTTGAATTATGTAGAGAAGAGTTAAACTGGAAGCTAAACATCAGAGCAGCAGCTGAAATATCACATTTTACACTGTCAGACGTGCAACAGATGTGAGACCAATTAATTTATAGGAGGAACAGGGGTCATTATATTCAGATCTTAGAAGCGCTAATGATGAGTCAGTGATATTAAAAGTCTTAAAGGTGACATATTCTCCTCTTCTTCTTCAGTGTAAATAAGTGTCAGAGCTCCTCAAAACATGTGTGTGAAGTTTCTTGTTCTAAATCCACTCTGATCCTGTATTTGATCATGTCTATAAACCCCTCTATTTCAGCCCTGCTCAGAACAGACTGTTTCTGTGTCTGTACCTTTAAATATGTAAATGAGCGGTGTCTGACCACGCCCCCTCTCTGGAAGGGCTTGGGTGTACTCGGTGCTTTCTTGCTCCCTGTCCTATTGTTTACGATGAGAAGGCAGACTCAGAGGGCAGAACAAACACCTAGCTGTGGGAGTGTCACCCACCTGGGGAGGGGCTACTGCCCTTTGTGATGTCATGAAGGGAAAATCTCCAAACGGCCTGTTTGAGCACACATTTTCTGAAAAGTGGAGCAGGGAAAAGACAGAGAGGATGGACTTTTCTCATCATTTGGGGGGTTTGGAGACGGACTAGAGACACATGTTAGAGTTAGAGGAACATGAAGAAGTGTGTTTTGCGTAATATGCGACCTTTAATTTATCAAGTTGTTAACCAGCTTCTTGTTACTTACAGCCGCCAACCAGAGTCCTGCAGTCCTCATCAATCGTCTGACTAACCAGCCAAATGGGAAACACAAACACCACCTGCCAGATGAGCAACTACAGCAGGAGGAACATCCGAGTGTTCGTCAGAGAGAACGCTCTGGAGCTGGACGCCTTCATCACCTCTCAGTCTGAACCCAATGAAGACGAAAGCCAGTCTGTGTCTCCCGCTGACAAGAAGTTCACCTTCAAGGAGGACGCTGCCTGCTTGCGTCTGCTGGCCTCTCAGACGCAGGCCGTGCCCTGGGATGCCGGGCACTTCCTGTCCGTGTTTGTGGAGGACGAAGACGACGAAAACGTTTGCGCCAAAAGGATCATCCACAACATGTCGCTGGGTTCTTCGCTTACTGTGCTGCTGTATGATCTGTAGATCCTAACCCGTTACTCTCTGCACAGATCTGAATAAAGTTCATAAATAAAGTCAGTCTGACTGCTCTCATCGCTCAGCTCCAGCTCCTACATTCACACCTTTACATATGAGTTGTCCCCCAGGTGCTTCACAGACAGGAGATTCAAACAAAAGATGCTGCTGTGTTGCATTATGGGAATTGTAGGATTTAAAAAAAAAAAAATTGGTGATTAACCAATCCTCAAAATCCTGACTTGATTTCATGTGTAGAATTGTTTTATTTTAACTGGCAACCTTCAGGGGTGAACAAAGACACCAGGGTGAAAAGGCCAAAAACTGCAGTTCCACAACCAGCCACTAGAGGCTGGCTCCAAAAGTGAGTCAAGCCCCATTAGACTCCATATGACATTGTCAAACTTTGCAGCCTGGCACCAAAAAAATATATTTTCAATCCTAATTATATTTTTATTTTTTATGCATCTTAGTTATTTTTTTGCCCATTTTTGCCTTACATAGAGAAGACAGCAGAAGACAGACAGGAAGTGCTCAGGTGGAAAAAGAGGAGGATGACATGAAGCAAAGGGCCGAGGTCGGATTTGAACCCACGGCCGCTGTGACGAGGACTATAGCCTCTGTACACAGGGTACATGTCATAACTGCTAACTCCAAACTTCCAAACTCCATGTGATCTGCAGAGTCCCTCTGCACCTTTAAGAAAAAGCTAAAGACCCAGCTCTTTCATGAATACCTACTAACTTAATGATGATGGTCTCCATATTATTGATGATGATGATGGTAATGACGATGGCGATATAAGATGGTTTCTATACTGATTAGAGCTCTCAAGAACTGCCCTCAATGTTGTGCTTTGCCTCTGGTCACTTCCTGTCAGTCCAATCGGACACACAGGTTGTTCTTACTCTCTGATGTACGTCGCTTTGGATAAAAGTGTATGCTAAGTGAATTGTAGAGTTGTAGAGCTGTTAGTCTATCCGGCGTCCCATGGGGGGAATACTTTTAAAAGTGTTTATTTGTCAGCAACATTTTTGTTATTCACACAAAATATTTAGCTAATTATGTCATTGTTGTTGCTAAAAACACACAAGACCTGTCCCGTATATAAAAAAAAAAAAAACTGCAGTCAGTCTGCCTTTGCATTCGTCATTGTGATTTCACATTGATCAGGTGTCACCCTCCTCTTCATGCCTTTGATCATCTGCTCCGGCTCAGATCTCAGGGCGGCTGTGAACAGTGGAGGCTTTCTTCACGCTGACGTTTCTGTGTGTGAAAACAGATGACACGGTGGCAGCTCTCTATCGCCCACATGCTCGTTTGGAAAGATAAAAAAAAAAAATCATCTCAGCAGCATCCTGCTCTTCAAGTTAGCGGCTCAGTCAACAAGTTTGAGCAATCAATTACGATAAAGGTCGACTCAACGGGGAGTTACATAAGACATGCGTGTGATTGCTCATGACCTCTGCTCAGGTTTGAATCTATAAATTTAAATAAAATGAGAAACTAAATATGACTTATTTTAAAAACAGTCCTGTTTCTGAAACAGACTGAAATCAATATAAATGTCTCTTTGCGACCCAAAAAGCCGACAAGACCTTCAGAGGACAGATGAACTATTTCTATAAAGTTATTATAAACAGGTGTCAGACAACGTGATCACCTTTTTTACATTATTCACAGCATTATTTACAACGAGTGATACGTCTGAATGTAAAAAAATAAAGCAGGAGGAGATTTGTTAATGTCAGAAAACACAAAATCCTCAAAGAGATGTGAGGTGCGGCTTTGTCCACGGGGGGGCGCCAAAATCAACACAATACAAAGTTCCTCAAAGAAGCTTTTAGACATATTTTTAAAAGCACTGAAATAAAGTGAAAGGTAATATTACAAAGTGATATTATTTGGCTGATGGTCTTGGCACATGCTCTTCCGCTTGCAGCTTCGTTTGGTCACGTCTGAGTAGACTCCACGTCTGGAGTCTAGTTATTGTCTGTCCTCTCTGTCCTCATTGTCGGTCATGAGTGCACCGTACAAAGCCATTTGGATTGCTTCATCATCCTATGGATCGAGAGCTTTGTTCCCTCGGCTACAGAAGCTCCTGATACGCTTCAGTGCTGACTGGCTGCTTTGATTGTTTATATGTTTCTTCCTGTTGTTTATACTGTTTGTTTCTATATGTATACCTGCTGTGTACCAGCTGTCCAACAAGAAATGTCTCCTGAGGGACAATAAAGTATTGTATTGTCAGACATCAGTTCAAGCTCAAATGAATCAAAGCAGACATAAACCATTTTATTTTTCCTTGGATGGATGGATGAAATATCATATCAAAAGATTATTCCTCAACATTAATCAAAAGCAGGAGACAAAGTTTCCTGCACTTACATTTCTTCCTGTGTGTGTGAAGCTGCTGTTGTTTCACCTGGAGGTAGGAGAAGCTCACCTGGAAGATGATGCACGCTGCTCTGAAGCTTTCCGCTCTCGTTCAGTCGTTCATAATGCCGACCTGGAAAACAGATATTTACTTATACAGGAACATATTTCACTTTTACCTAACTGTTAGAAAATACTAAATCATCTTCTTTTTGTCATTTTTCCTGCTGCTGCTGGTGGTGAATTCTCAGTCTGGCCGGCTTCTTGTCGGTCCCTTGGTACACTGAAACTTGTCCACATCTGGATTGGAAGAGCAATCCTCATCCTCAGTGTGACCTCCAACATCAGTGAGAGTCAATGAAGAACTGTTTCTTACTCTAAGTGCCCAAAGACTCAACGGGTAACAACACAGTGTCCCGTTTACAGCAGCACAAACAACACTTAAGAAACTTCTGCTCCATGAATCAGTGTGACCATAAAATGACCTCACAACAAACTGAACTTTATGTCTTTAGTTTCTGTTGTGGTAATGGGAACAGAAGCTAGACTTACAGCTCGACGCCTGCAGAGCCAAAAGTTTGCAAACTTCCTTGGCGTCCTCATTGTGGACCTTCGGGTCGCTCGGTCGTTTTCGGCATTCTGTCCAAAAAAGAAGTGGCAGCGACCGGAAACAGACGGCGATAGAGTTCATCGATGCCTTTGCAGGGATTCTATTATTTCATGAAATGCCACAAGAATATGGATTAAATATTTACACTTGCACACAATATATTGAGGTGAAAGGGGAAAGCATTGTTTTGTTCAGTAAATATTCAGCCATATTCATAGAAGTTTAGAAGTTTTCTTGATTGTTATTTTGTGGTGATAATGTTTCACTTCTTTGGGTGACTTAATAATATCGATTGTGATTTAAGTGAAGCTTCTGCTCAATGAAAACAACCCATAAGAAGACATGATTCACGATTCATGAAGTCATCATCATTCAGCTGTTTTTTTAAAACATTATTAAGGACACTTTCAAGGGTCACATCGTCGCCTCCTTTTCAACCAGTTAAAATAAGTCTCAGAGCTCCTCAAAACATGACTGAAGTACAATATAGAGTCACCAACTAACCTAACGAGCATGTATTTGGAATGTGGGAGGAAACAGGAGAGAACCCACACATGTACAGGGAGATCATGACTCCACACAGAAAGGCTCTGTCTGACAGGGAATTGTACCTGGAACCTTTTTGCAGTGAGGCAATATCACTAACCACTGCACCATCGTTCAGCTTGTTCTGGATACTGATTTATTTAATTTATTTGAGACCTTGTATTGAATTCCCTAGTCAGGATGTTTCATTAAAGTCCCTCCAGGAATACTTTTACTGAGGATGTGATAAAGATGTCCGACTCTTCACTGCAATATTACAGTGTTATACATTTCATGTGTTGTTTTGGCTGTGAGGCACAGTTGCTGAAAACTGATGATCCTAAGCTGTATTTTGTATCCTGATGTATTTCAGGCCCAGACCACTAGAGGTCAGTCTTGTGCAGTGCTGAGGTAACACCTCAGGAGAGGACGCCATGTAGGTTTAAAGTTTGTATGAAGAGTTAAACAAAGTCATGCAGTAAAAAATAATTTCTAACAACAAGAATTACCTTAATTAAGATAATAATCATGTTAATGTCTGCATGCAGTGCACAGAGAGGATCAAACTCTTTATTCAGTTTTATTGATACCATTGAAAGAAGGATGTATGTCACACTTTTTTTAATGCTGTCAACTATCTGTGCAAAATGTTGTCAACATGGAGGCTTCTCTAAAAAGACAGAGAGAGATGTAGAGATAAAATAAAATAAAAGTGAACTAAACAAAATATGAGACAAAAAAATAATTAAATTAACTAAAATTACATAGAAAGAAAGACAGAAATAAAGAGAGCAGTGTTGTTGTTGTAGTACTCCTTCTGGACTGTGGGGGCAGTATTGTACTCAAAGTAATAACAGCGTCCCAGATTTCAAAACGAAGAAGAACGCGCTTCCGGTTAGCCTGTCAAAAACAACCAGCTAGCATTATTAGCTGACCTCACCCGAAAGGATACAAAAAATGGAAGTAAATCAAGCGAAGCAGGAGCACCTCCTCGCTTTAAAAGGTAATTTACATTCATACAACACGAAATAAATCCTGAGTGTTGACGGTTTCGTGTTAAACGTGTCAGTTTTGTGCTTAGCTGTCATGCTAATGTTGCTAACAGCGCTAGCTCAGACAGAAAGCTGTAAAACGTTTTAAATTCATGTTACAATTAAATTCTGTTTGTGACATTAACAGCTTCAATAAGTGAAAGTGTTTAACGTTATTAGGCCTCAAATTAGATATTAAAAACACATATTCAAACATATTCAAACATTAACAACTGTCAGCTGGGTTAGCTTTGTTAGCTTTGTTAGCTTTGTTAGCTTGTTAGCTGAGAAAGTGTTTACATGACATTTTGTGACTTTTATTGAACTACAAAGTCAGCTTTCTTCTTCTTCTGTAGTATTTTATGTGTTTTAAGGACACAGGAAGCTACACATCGTAACATTACGTCATTTATGTTTTAATTTGGTGTATTTGTTTGTTTATTTGAAGACTTTGAACCATTAAAATGTTTTTACAATTATATCATCATGTGGTTTATAAATGATGAAACATGTTCTTAGTCAGGAGTTCTCAGGCTGTTCAGCTCGGGACCCCCCCCCCCCCCCCCCTAAATAAAGGAGCCTGAGACTGGGGACCCCCACAGTCAGGTGCTGGACAAACAAAAGTCAATAAATAGACAAACAGTTTGTTTATCTTTAATGTGTAGAGAGCAGGAGACTTCTACATTGTGGGCTTTGTGCCTTTATTTTGATAGGACAGCTGAGGATAGACAGGAAATATGGGGAGAGAAAGTGGAGGGCGAGGTCAGGAATCGAACCTGTGACCGGTGCATAAAGGACTGAAGCCTCATGTTCTATGAGGGACAAAAAATGACTAAAGTATAAATAAATAAATGCAACAATTCATATAAAAATTAATAAATAATTAAATAAATGCATCAATAAATATATAAATAAATAAATGCATCAATAAATATATAAATAAATAATTAAATAAATGTGTCAATAAATATATATATATATATATATATATATATATATATATATATAAATGCAACAATTCATAAAAATTAATAAATAATTAAATAAATGCATCAGACAGAAGCAAATTTACATAAATACTTTTCCTCTTACGATCTGGACACAGAAATAAATAGATGTGTAAATGTAAAAATACGGAAATAAATTAATAACTCAATTAATTTGGAAATGTATTCATTGATGCATATATAACTGTAGAAATACGCTAATAAATGAATAAATACATGTAAAAAAATATATAAATAGCCTTTTTCATTAACAAAGTGTATTTATTCATTAATGTATTGTTTTCAGCATTTATATATTTATTTATATATTTATTGATGCATTTATTTAATTAATTATTTATTTATACATTATTGTATTGTCAGCATCTGTACATGGGGCGCCGGTGGCCGAGTGGTTAGTTTAGGAGTTCCTGTTCTCCTATTTTCAAATGTAAACCTGTGTGATTTTAGCAGGACAGGGACGGGAAGGTTTGTTGAAATACTGACGTCTTTAATGTGTTCACTAATGTCTCTTCTCTTTTTAGTGATGCGGTTGACAAAGCCGACGCTCTTCACAAACCTGCCAGTGACATGTGAAGACAGAGACCTGCCAGGTAAGTCTGTTCAGCTCTGCGACCTCAAAGACGTAGCCTTAATACTCGATCTATTACAGGATGTCACATGTAAATCACAGCAGGTGACAAGTCATTTTGAGATTGTATGTCTTAAGACTGTGGAAGGAAACCAAGAGCACCTGTCGGAAAAAAACCAGGCAGACACGTGGAGAGCGTGCAAACCCCACACAGAGAGACTCCAGTGATCCTGTGTGGAGTTCGAGTTCTGGTCATTTTTTCCTTTATGCATGAAGGTCAAACAAATGAGCCCTGTTTGCTAAATGTGGCAGTATAAAAATCCAGTGTCTGTGGTTTGATTTCTGACTGTTAATGAAGCATGAAGCGATTCAGTGGAAGCCTTAAAATAAATATAATTTTGAAGCTTCCAATACTTATGTCTGTTAAAAACAACTTGTGAATCATCAAATGCAAGAACAACAACAAACATAATGATACACAATCGAAGGTTTCAGGCTCTTCTTCACTGATGTTCTATATCATTAAACTTCGTCCTTTCTTGGATAACAAAACTTGCAATTGACTTCAAAATAAAAACATTTCCTTAAAAATATTCCGCTTACATTTTTGAGAAGTTCATGCAACTTTTTTTTTGTTAACAGCCTGGTTAAAAAAAACCAAATAGGTGTGATTAGCTCATGTCTGGATGGACACACACTGTACGGGGGGTGAATGTTTTGATGACTCATCAGTTTTGATTTGATGAAGGATAAGAGTTATTCACAATAAGGCGTGTAGCTGACCTGATTGACAGGTGGGCGCGGTGTAACGGTTTGTCAGGAGGTTTAAAACCCGCCTCAGCTCCAGCTCTCAGCCTGTCGTTAGGTTGACTGAAAGTTAGACTGAGACAGCATTTCCAGCATGGAGGCCGCCATCGAGGGGACTCCAGCGCCCCCTGCAGGAACAGACGGGTGACGACACTCAGGCCTCGTCCTTTAATATTTAAAGTCTTTGGCTCTTCCTCTGCTGTTTTTTTGTCTGTGGCTTTGTGTTCACCTTTTTATTTTCTCTTTTGTTTGTTTTTCAAAGTTTTCAGTGTTGAAGTTTCCTAAATGCATCTGATGCAGATGTTGTAAAATCAATGAGTAATCATGTTTAATAATTGTGATCTCAATATCAATCAAAAGCAATCGTGGTTATAATTCGTTTGCCCATAATCGAGCAGCCCTCGAGCACATCTGTATTTTGGATCAACAGTCACAGATCCTGCTCCCACATTTAGACCGGCCACCCTGCTGAGAGTCCCAGTGTTTGTTTTCCCCTCCTTAGCAATACATCAACAGAAAACTGTTCACTGTGCTGGTAACCGAATCCTTATAATCCATAAATCACGCTGACACTTTCAGGGTAGCATCGCTATTTATACAAGAGAAGCTGTGAAGTGGGGTCACAAGTTAAAGTGCACAAAGATGAACTGCTGCAATTTGACAGAAGTGACATAAGACTATTTGTGTTTGTGCTTTCATGCTTGACTTCCATTTCAGTGTTGTTACAGTTTTGATTAAAGAAAGAGGGATTAGAATTAGAGCCCGACCGATTCATCAGCCAGCTGATATCAGCGTATCCAGTGACTATCAATATCGGCTAATTTATCGCAGATATGCGCCGATATTACTTGATTAATTCACCAGTCAAAAATCATTTAATTTGAGTTTCATTTTATTACACTAGCAGTTCTCTTTCACCAGCAGAGGGCGCTATATGGATCACAACACACATCATCACTCTCCAGAGTGTTGAGCCGTGATGCTCAGTTACTTTCCAGTCGAACGGCCATCTTGTCTTCGTTGCATATTGTTTTCACAAGTGTTTGAAAACTGCATTTGAGGGATCAACACAATAAATGTGTTTATTTAAATCTATCTCTACAGATCGAAGATAGATCTTTAAAAAAGAAAGATATCGGCCGATTTATCAGAATCTGTTTTTTCCTCTCCTCATTATCGATATCGGCCCCAAAAAGCCCATATCAGTCGGACCCTAATTAGAATTTTTAGGACTCATAACGGTTGTTTGAGTCTGCTCCATGTGAGGCAGAGAGGAGAAGCGATGGTATTCACATTTAAAGGTCGTTTCTCGAGTTATTTGGCGTCTCATAAACATGCAAAGTAATGTGGATGTCTTTACAAACATTCAGAGAGTAGAGGAGGTAACGCCGTCTTAATTACAAAAAAGCACGGGCAACGTTTCGGTACCAAAACAATGTGCAATTTAGACCGTGTGCAGAGGCTTCCTTGCATTTTTTGAAAAATCTTAATTTGGATGACCTCGATTTATATTTATAATTCTGTTAACGTGACAACTCTGTTAGGATGAATGTTTGTGGCCAACCAGTCGGACAGAAGCACAGAAATCTGAACCCATTGAAACCATTGTGTGTTTTTTTGTAGCTTTGAAACCTGATCTTCAAAGGTCCTGTGTTCCTCTCTGATCCTCCCTGCCGTGCACAAATACTCCCACACTTTTATTTCATCTAACGCTGTTTGAACAGTGTCAACATCAAAGGCAAGACGAAGCAGATTTATCGATATAGCGCTTGTCGAACACGGAGTCGATTTGACGAGCTTTACATCAGAGAATACGATTAGGAAAGAATGTTTAAAGCTCCTGTGAGGAGTTTATGGCTGGTAATAAAGCAGTCAGAGTTTAATATTGATGCCTTTATATGACCGACAGAAGCAAATAAAACCATCAGCAACAGGCCTGACTATTTCTTTATTGGTATTTTTATTTCTTTAAACTGCTGCTGGTGTCAGGAGACATGATGAACAGCAAGCTGTAAAAACAGCCTTTTAAAGAAGATGTCTATGCTAAATGTTTATTGTGAGCTGCATGCAAGACATTTAAAATAAAGAAGGATGAATTTAATGTGTAACGGAAAAAAATCAGCAAAGAGATCAATTGCTTTTTTTTAAACCACAGAAGGGCACCAAAATATGTCAAACCTGACAGTTCCTCCCAGGTGCTTTAAAGGTCACATATCCTCCTCCTCCTCTTCAGTGTAAATAAGTCTCAGAACTCCTCAAAACATGTGTGTGAAGTTTCTTGTTCTAAATCCACTCTGATCCTGTATTTGATCATGTCTATACACCCCTCTATTTTAGCCCTGCTCAGAACAGGCTGTTTCTGTGTCTGTACCTTTAAATATGTAAATGAGCTGTGTCTGACCACGCCCCCTCTCTGGAAGGGCTTGGGTGTACTCGGTGCTTTCTCGCTCCATGTCCTATTGTTTACGGTGAGAAGGCAGACTCAGAGGGCAGAACAAACACCTAGCTGTGGGAGTGTCACCCACCTGGGGGAGGGGCTACTGCCCTTTGTGATGTCATGAAGGGAAAATCTCCAAACGGCCTGTTTGTGCACACATTTTCTGAAAAGTGGAGCAGGCAAAAGACGGAGAGGATGGACTTTTCTCATCATTGGGGGGTTTGTAGACGGACTAAATACACACATTGGAGTCAGAGAAACACAGTAAAGTGTGTTTTGCATCATATGTGACCTTTAAGAAAAATTAATTTATGAATTGTTAAAAATAAGAGTGAAAGAAAGAAATGTAAATACAGATTTAAAAAGTCAGTAATGAGTTGTAATCTGCCTTAAGTGCAGCAACAAAATAATGGAGTAGTAGGCGATACAATCAATAACGAGTTACAGGTGACATGTGTCTCGTATTATTACCAAAATATGTCTTGTGTTCTTTCAGGGGATTTGTTCTGTCAGCTGATGAGAGAGGACCCGTCCACCATCAAAGGAGCAGAGACCTTAATGCTGGGAGAGATGCTCACGTTACCGCAGAACTTCGGGTAATAAACGCTCATTTATTGTGACGTAAACAAAACTTTGTGAAGAAACTTTTTAGGGGAAATTAGTACCACCACATCAACTCTTTAACCACCGGAAATGTTCATTTAAAGGAGAATTGACTTGTTTGTAAACATGTACATATTTTAAATAACAGGTACAAATAGATTTAGTAGATTGGTTTCTGCAAGCTTTAAAGGCACAGTATGTAAATTCCTCCACCAGTGGGCTCTCAATCAATACAGTCACAAAAGATGATGTCGAGGCTGGTGGGGATTCTCTCTACTACTCCCACTTAGCGTTTTTTCTCAGCAGAAAAGCGCTGGCTGTGTGCTCGGGAGCTCGCTTCATAACATAGTTCATATACAAGCGCTGCACGTTCATCCTGTCTCTATGACAACAGTCTGTTGACATCAGCCGCTGTGCGAGCGACACTGTTCCGTTACTTCTTACTGCATGTTTTTTTTAGTCTGGTGGCTTTTAAAGTAAAATCTTTCTTTGACTTTTCACTGTTTTTTTTTTTTTCACACAGAAATATTTTCCTGGGTGAGACCTTCTCCAGTTACATCAGTGTGCACAACGACAGCAGCCAAGTTGTGAAGGACATTCTTGTGAAGGTAAAAAAATAAGTAAAAGGGTTAGTACTTATTTATTAAAGGAGCAATATTTAACTCGGACACCTAGTGTTTAAATTGGGTACTGCAGTCCAAATTCAAAACATCATAGAGAGCTGTCTCCCCCCCGCCCCCTCCTCTCTAGAGTCGATGCTCACTCAGGTCACCATGTGGTGGACTCTGAAGCTTCAGTGTTTATCCAGCTCTGCATGGGTCTGTAAACCTTTCTGTGTTCTAACCTCTCTCCATTTTTCAAAAACAGAAGAAAATACCCTTCTTAGAATCTTTGAAATTGTCATAATGGTACAAAACCAGTGCAGAAGACACAGAAAGAAGTTTTATTTAATTGCTGCTAAATTGTTGATTATGTTGGACCCCTTTAAAAATCAGCTGAGAGTTCCCATATCAGTCTGTCCCGACTCACAACATACTCTACACCCCTTCTTTGACTCTCTACAGGCTGACCTTCAGACCAGCTCACAGAGACTCAACCTGTCGGCGTCAAACTCGGCAGTAGCAGAACTCAAACCCGAGTGCTGCATCGATGACGTCATTCACCATGAAGTCAAAGAAATCGGAACGCACATGTGAGTTTTCCTCCTACAAAATGTATCGTATCGAGTGGAGACAACGGACAAGCAATGAACTTTGACTTTGACTCTTCCCGCACCGCCAAACTTATAATTTAACATCCTTATCAGACGAGTCATCTTGTCCTCTCTTTCCAATCTGCAGCTTAGTTTGTGCGGTCAGTTACACCACTCAGTACGGGGAGAAGCTTTATTTTCGGAAGTTCTTCAAATTCCAGGTGAGTTATATTTGACTTTTCTCATTAGATGATGGCGGTAAACTGTTGGCCTTAGCTTGGAGGAGACCTGAGAAATGTCACAGGTCTTCAACAGAGCTAAAGCAATTAGCATCCTGACCGTGGAGGTGGTGCCCCACGGCCTTTGCTCCTCAGTTTGTGCACCGCTTGTAATCCTATTCCCTTCCCCTTTAGCAAGACCCGTGTAATCCTCCTCACAGCCGAAGATTTCCAGACTGATTTAGACATTTTTTTTGCATGAGAAATATTACTTATTCTGCAGAGATGGAGCTGCAGTGTGAGAAACCTTTAGCGTTCAGTTTTCAATCTATTTTGAATCAGGTGTTGAAGCCGCTGGATGTGAAGACAAAGTTCTACAATGCCGAGGTAAGTGAGCCGCTCTCAAACACCCTCGAAACACCAGCTGCATAACTGTCAACATACAGAGTGAGTCTGTGCACTCGTGTGTCACTCCACATCATTCTGCAAATAGAAGAACTGTATTGTATGACAGGCAAGCTCTCACTGTAGAATACGTAACATGCTCCATGTCATATTTCATTTCATAGGAACATTTGAAGATGCTAATAGGTGCAGTTAGTAAAAGACATGTCTCAAGGAAAATTCTTGCACCTCCAGAAATGTCCATTTAAAGGAGAGTTCAGGTGTTCTTTTTTTTAAACCCCGGCCTGTTTTTTTCAAAGGAGTCATGCTGACTTTTAAGAGTTTGTTATTGCTCTTCCTGATTGTTAAAAAAAGGCCTCATATCCACACGGAAAGGTTCACCTCTGAAGCTTTTCTTTCTTGCAACATTTAGAAAAAGAGTTTGAAAAAGTAATCTGAGCCTGTAGGTTGCAAAAACAAGGAATTTGAAGGATATACTTTACCCTGAAAGATTACATCACAGAAATTACAGCCACTATTAGGGTTGAAGAAAGCTCCTGGAGCAAAGACCACAGAGTTTTCTGAGCACCTGTAGGTCTTTTAGAGTCCAGACTAAATCAAGTAGGTCAGGGTTTAAAAAAACAGGAAAACATCCTGCAGAGTTTAAAAAACAAAACTGGAGATCAAGTGTTTTCCTCATTGAGACGACAAGCTTTTCTCTCGGTAGTTTTTTTTTTTACATTATGTCTGTTTGTGCAAATATTCATTGTCATCGTGTTTGGCATGTAACTTCATTTGTGTTTTATTCTGTCTGTATTTTTTTATTTTCTCCATTAGAGTGACCTCAGTTCTGTGGTAATTGTCCTTTTGTTCTCATCGCTGAACATTAGCTTCTCATAATCCTTTTTTTTTTGGTGCAGCAGATTCTTTTTTTTTTGTCTTTCTGGGGCCAACAGAAAGGTGCAAAAGTAGAAGAATGGAAAGTGATGTATAGTTTGAACACCTCGATAGTTATGAATTAATAAGTGACTTGTTTATATTTATTTTAACGTATTAGCCCTTTACATTGACTTTCCATTTTCTGTTCTTTTTGCGCCTTTCTTTGGACGCTCATGCTTTTCTTGCAAACTCATCCTACACAGGGCTTTGACTTTTGGAAATTTAAGTTTGCGGTGTCAAATTTCGGTGGGTTGGGAATGAACTGATTTATTATGAGGGGGAAATGAGGAGTTCACAAACTGATTGTTCAGATTTTTCTATTTGTGGAGATGAAAACGATTATGTAACACTGCAGGCGTGAAGTTTGGTGCTCCAGAGAATTTAACTTTCACCGTCTGAATGATCGTATGGCTTTGTCAACTTTAACTGTCTGATGAAAAAGGCAGATTCATCTTAAACTGCGGCCTTGTTTTTACAGACTTTGAGGGTTAAGGCTGGCTACACACTAGACTATTTTCAAATCTTAACCGATTTTAGAAACATTGGAGACCACAGACACAAGGACCGTTTCCACTGATTGTTGACATTATAATCCTCTGAACGCACACACTAGACCAGTGGTACTCAACTGGTCTAGCCTCAGCCCACCACCAACTCCTTAATGATACATTTGGGACCCAAATGTGGAGATTTTGACCACGACGGTACAAAAAATCCAGAATAAAACAAGCATGTTTTAAAAAGCTCTCCATAAACTTTTGACCCACTTAAAACGGCTCCTCGACCCACTTTTTGGTCCCAACCCACCCGTTGAGTACCACTGCAGTGGACGATTCAGCCAGACCGTGAAACCACACACCTGCCGTCTGTAGTCACAATTTCACGGACTCGATATCTCCCAGAAACTCGCTTGCTCAAACGTGACTTCAGAAGAAAAACAAACATGGAGGACGATCGACGTTGTCAGCTGCAGGAGACTTTACAAAGACAATTGTGTTGTTGCCATGACAACACCAGCTGCTCTTTCTTTTTCAAAACTCCACTTGGCTTGGGGCTCGGTTGTGTGCATGTCCCCATTAAGGAGTTACTGTCTGTGATTATGAGACGTTATTCTCTTATTCCACCAGCGGGTGTTAAAGGGTTAATGAAACAGATCTTTATGATGATGATGGGGGGGGGGGTTCAGGTCATGTTTGGAATGGCTTTGCATGGACCCGAGATGCTGAGCTTTCTGATTTCACATTAACATGGATGATTCAAACTCTCAGATTGGTTCCTGGTCCGTTCTGACTCTGATGAATGGCGGGCATGAACTAATCTCTGCTTCTCTCTCGTTGTGTCTTACTGTGTGGTAGAGGTTGCACTAAAAGTTGCTTTTCCAGAGTATCAACTAGTTGCCAACAAACAAAACCAATTATCCAACAGCAGCTATCAAGTCATGGTGTGCAATACCAATTTAAAATATCAGTTATGTTCCTAATGACCAAGTCAGAAAGTCAAATCCAAATATCTGTAAATAGTGTTGTAGGCAAAACCACACTATCTGAGACCAAGCCATACACGAGACCAGAGTGCTCCGAGACCGAGACAACACCAAGACATTTAGGGATCGAGTCAGAGTCAAGACCAAGACCAAGGCAGGGCAAGACCGAGACAAGACCAAGACCAAGGCAGAGGGAGGCCCAGACAAGACCAAGACCAAGGAGGGCGAGATCAAGACAAGAACAAGACCAAGGCAGGGCAAGATCAAGACAAGACCAAGACCAAGGCAGGGTGAGACTGAGACAAGACAAGACAAGACAAGACAAGACCAAGACCAAGGCAGAGGGAGGCCCAGACAAGACCAAGACCAAGGCAGGGTGAGATCAAGACAAGACCAAGACCAAGCAGGGTGAGACCAAGACCAAGGGAGGGAGACTAAGTCAAGACCAAGACCAAGGCAGGGCGAGACCGAGTCAAGACCAAGACCAAGGCAGACGAGACCGAGTCAAGACCAAGACCAAGGCAGGACGAGACCAAGACAAGACCAAGACCAAGACCAAGGCAGGGCGAGACCAAGACAAGACCAAGGCAGGCCGATTCCGAGACAATACCAAGGCCAAGACAGGACCAGACAGAGACAAGACCAAGACCAAGAGACAAGACTGAGTCAAAATGCTTTCAATTCCGAGACCCAGACCGTCATAAAATGGACTCGAGACCGGTCTTCAGACAAAGACCGGTTTCCTGTACCAAACCCTAGCTGTAAATCGATGATAAGTATTGTTTAAATTATAAATAGTCTTCTTTTTTAATGTAACTTTTTAAAATAAAACTATCTAAATATACTATCTTAACGAGGTAGATATCAGACGAACTTGTGTCTCCTACAGGAGCATTAAACCATCGCTTCACACTCGATGTAGCTCGTGGTTGGTCTACCTGTGATGGTTATGACATCATGGCTAATAATCAAATCCACTATGGAGAAAATTAACAGGATTTTACTTCCAGGATTGGTCTGTTTAGCTCAAAAGGCATAATCTTAAAGTAAAACCACCTCGCTAAGGAGCAGCCGTCTAAAGTAAAGACTTTCATCAGATATATCTACATCGCTCTCTACCTCAACCAACAGATAAAATCCATCACTAGTTGATATATTATTATTATATGAACCACTGGATGACTTGAATGAACTTGTTAAAAACATTGTCTTTGTGCAACTTCTACTGCACACTCTGCTGGTCAGCACTTCTACTAACTGTGTGGTCTAAGGTTCACTGAGCAAACGTCCTCCAGTCCAGTAAGTTTAATGTCCGTCTCTCAGTCTGGTTAATAAATGTCACCACATACAGTCACATCACCTGAAGCGTAGCTTAAAGGACAGGCTCGCGTTTCTTCAAGTCGGCCTCACATAATCACTAACATGCCTCATGTACATTAACAGTAGCCCATTATAGGGGCTTTAAAGACCGCTGATGGGGACAAAACA